TTCCAGGATGCAGGACACCACATTTAGTCTGCGTGCCTCTGGAGGCTCCTCTTGGCTGTGACAGTTTCTCAGACTTTCCTTGTTTTTGGAGAGACCTTGACAGTTCTGAGGTGTGCTGGTCAGATATTCTGTAGAGTGTCCCTCAGTTAATATTTCCGTGGTTTTTTTTTTTTTTTTTTTTTTGATGATCAGACCGGGTTTATGGGGTTTGGGGACGAAGACCACAGAGGTAAAGTGCCGTCTCATCATATCTTATCAAGGGTACGTGTTACTAAGCTGACTCCTCACTGTCGATGTTGACTTTGGTCACCCGGCTGAGGTCATCTTGCCGGGTTTCTTCACTGTAAGTTGCTCTTCTGCCCTTTCCATGCTGTACTCTTTGGAAGGAAGTTGCCATGCCCGGCCCGTGGCTGTTCTGCCTCCGTGAGGGTGGACTATATATATATAAGTTATTTGGAATTCTTGCACAGGGGATTTGTGTCTTCTCCCTAATTCATTCAGTCATTCATTCATTCCAGGTTAGCACAGACCTGCGACAAAATACTGGATCCTTCACTTACTAAGTATGTAACCTCGGACAAATTGCTTAGCTTCTCTGAGCCTCAGTGGCCTCATCTGCAAAACGGGAAAAGTAATTTCTACCTCGAGTTTGTTCTAAGGATTACTGATAATATATGCCAGTCTTGACCTACGACAGGCCTTCAATTCAAGGTGGCTAGTCTGATGGTTGTCAGGTAGGCCACTGCAATCACGGAGGGCTTCCTGGGGGAGTGTTAGTCCCAGAGGACAGGGAGGGCTTGGAGAGTGAGACCCCTGTGTCCGGAGGTGAGAACGGACAAGGGGTGTCAGGGCAACGTGACTAGAAAGGTCAATTGAGCTTCCTGGACTGGGATCATGGGGGTGTCTAGACACCCCCCTGGACCTGGGCAGGGGCCCTGGGATGTCGTGCAGGGGCAGAGAGTGTGGTGGGAATTAGATGCAGGAGGTGACAGTGAGGGGGGAGCAAGTGCCTCCCAAACTGCAAACTGGAGTGGCCGGGAAGGTGGGGGTGCCCCAGAGGGGTCCATGGCAGGCTGGGTCCCTGTTAGGCAATAAGTTGCGTCCCCCTAAAATTCACGTGTTGAGGCCCTAACCCCCGATGTGACTGCATTTGGAGAAAATTTGGAGAAAGGGCCTTTAAAGAGATAATTAAGGTTAAACGAGGTCATATGGTGGGGCCCTGATCTGACAGGACTAGTGTCCTTATGAGGAAGAGACGTTCTGGTGAATGGCTGGTCCTGAGAGGCCCTGATGAGGCCCCCAGGAGGGGAGGGGGTGAAAGGGAGAGGCAGGTCCGGGGCACGTTGTGACTGGTCGTGGCAGGGCAGAGAGCAAAGGGGCAGCCAGGAGGGAAG